AGAAGCTAAACCAATGTGTTTGTTATCTCTGTAGTCAGTCTGCACGTAGCATGTAATGACAGGATGTTCCCGATGGAGATTTGTGTCTGTTACACATACTGGATACATCGTTTTAAATTAACAACATGCTGACTATCAGAGCCCTTGCCTAATCCTAAGAAGCTTTTTTTAAGATGACATGGTTATATTTGGTATTGGTGATAATCCCCCTGGTCAAGGAGCTGTGAGACTCAGGATGCTGTGTTCCTTAGGGCTCCTCCTCAAGTCACTCAACATCCCATCTGAAATATCAGTGGCGCTTTCTTGAAAACCTAAGCTTGTTCTCTTCATACGTGCATTTGTTTGGTGTAATTGTTTTTTTGCGTTGGTGGGTGGAACACAACACAAATATAGCTCTGAGTCGCTGCTACTAATGACCCTGTCTTTGGAAATAATTGGAACACTGATTTATGAGCACCACTAATGCATTTCAGTTATTACGTAATGTACAAAGCTAATTTGCGCTACACTGCAGTTTTTTTGTCTGCCTTCATACAGTGAGGTCTGAAATTATAGATAAAAAAGAAAATATTGAACCTTTATTTAACCAGGAAAAGCCCATTGAGACCCGGAGTCTCTTTTTCAAGGAAGACAATCAATACATTACAATACAATTCAACAACATGGTCCATCCTAAAAAAAGCATTTGATAAGGAGAAAAAATAAATACAATATTTTGGATATGGGTAAAGGTGGTGGTGACGGAAGGACACCACAGTGGTCAGTTCTAAATAGCCGGTGGCGTCTTGTCTGCTGCCGTACAGAACATTGGTCCCCAGACACAGTATGTAGTAGTGTTGTCACAATACCAGAATTTTGACTTTGATACTGATACCAGGTTTAGTATCACGATACTCCATACTATCACGATAATCCATACTATCACGATAATCCATACTATCACGATACTCCATACATCACGATACTCCATACATCACTATACCAAGGGTAAGAAAATAAGGCATCAGAATGGCACTTGATCCAGACAGATATTTTTAGTTCAATAGCATCACATTTGGAATTTTTGATTTGTGAATGTATGCATTATTGAAACAATTATACAATAAAAAAATTTTTAACCAATCTAACATGGTTAAAACATGATGGTAATAATTATTTGAATGGTAAATCTCTAGTCTATTGATAAACTGGGTAAGTCAAGATGTAGCCTAGGCCTATTTACAATACAGTGGGGCTACAGATGAAAAACAATCTGTTTCCCTTCCATTTGGGACATATTTTTTTGTACTGATCAACATTTGCACAGAAGAAACAATCTCCTCTTTTATAAAAGTCTGCGCTGTTTCTAAGACCAATGACTTCATTCACACACACGCTCAGTTTGAGGCTCGAGCAAAGATGATCTTTGCCTGGCTACCCTAACTCCTTGCTCTGGCCAACGCTACGCCACGCCCACTGACGTCCTTCTCCGCAGTGAGTCTAGATCTGAGTACCTCCCTGTCGATTTTCTAGAACGCAAACACATTCTAACCGCTCAGATTGGTCCCAGAAACCGATGGGTTGGGCCATAGCCAGAACACACGTGGGCAAAGCGCTGTTTTGAAAATGAGTCATTGGCTTTGATACTCTGGTTAGAGATGATCTAATCCCTGATTACTTTGTTATATACAACACCCGTCATTTTGACGTCACCACAAACGATTTCAACGGTGGCAGTCGGATTGAAGAACAGCGGAGGAATTCAGTTTGAGTCGTCAGGCAAAGGTGGTCTTGACTGGGAGAGACGTGAGGCGGGGGAGATGAAGTGAAGGAATAACGTTTTTGGTGACAATCTGCTTTGAAATCAGCAATATTTTGCGTTATGGTTTGCATTTTATCACAAACAACGTACTATGGTAGTGAATTGATGTTAGCTTCAGCTGTAAACTAGCAAGGAAAGTTAGCCTACAAAGCTGGAAGCTACCAGTATCTTCTTGCATTGTAAATGTTCTAGCCCGTAATGGACATTGTTTTGCTAACAGTTTCAACATTTCTACATGCGTTTTGCATTATTCAGTGTTAACTTCTGTGCGGCATAAGTTCTGATGCAGTCCATACCACCAATGTGTGCAGTGGGACAGGCTAGAACTAGCAGTGAGTAAGTGGAGCAGGCACGATGCTCTCGCGCTATAAGGGGACATCGTCTACGCTGATAGACAGACTTGATCCTCTCTCAATTAGTAGACAACATGAGATGCATTTGACAGAAGTACCGAAAGTAACACAAGTTCTAGTATCGGAAAAAGTACAAAAGTTTCGGTGTACAGTGCATCAGAGTAAGTAAAGGCTCAACACAGCAGGCCCAACCTCGTCAGCTGATTGGCCCGGATAACATGGGGACCATTGATGCAGGCTGGGGTTGCCATGCCTTCACAGAGTACGAACCATCCACTGCTCCACTGACAGCGAAAAGACACACCCTCAAGTCCCTGACAGAGTAGGTGATTGAAGACGTGAGGAGGAGACCATTACAGACTATCAGTTTCACAATCTGTCAATCCCATTATGTTCTTTTGATGAGCTATTTCCATGATCTGTAAGGGAGGGAATGATTTCAGGATTTCTTAATTCCTAACTCATTATTCTTAGAAATGATCAAGGAGGCTAGCTACAGTGCAACAGAATGGGCCAAACCAAATCATAAAAATATGAAGAGCGTTTTTATTCACGATTTGTAAGTAGCTATTAAAAATGGTAAATCTGAGATCAGCCAACAGTTGTGCCTCATAAAGAGTATGGAACTGGCTGCCCCCATGCCAAAGGTTGCCAACAGTCTGGTTGCCAATTGTCTGGTTGCTGCCAATACACCCCCACTGCCTCTGGAGTAAGCAGTCAAACAACTCTCACCCAGTGTTGCCAACTAATTTTCAGGGGAAGTTGCTAGAGGCAGATCGATTTGTTGCTAAAAGTTGCTAAATGACGTTGTGATGTCATTGCGTGATGACGTCATTACGTAATAACGTAAAACTGCGTCATCATGTAGAATACACAATAACGTTACTCAAATTGACTGGCCATCTCAGCGACAAATATGATTTGACATTTGTTAGTTTAGATTTGTTTGTTTATTATCACATATTTTTATTTGTAAAAGTAATATAAACACAACATTTTATATGATCAGATATTTTTATTTTTAAACACAACACATTGAATTATTGAACAATTACACATTACACATTATTGAACAATTACATTTTATTTATTTTCTTATTAACTAGTAAACCTACACATTCTGAACAATTTATAGTTTTAAGCAGTGTATTGGTAGTTAGTTAACATGCTACCTAAGTGATCAACAATTAGAGGTACAAGCTAATAACAAGGTATATATGCTATCTTATTGAACAAGCAACTTAAGTCAAATAATGATGTGTGCGCTAGGCATCTCTCTCCAGCTCTCTCCAGGTTGTTGTGCTGCTTGGCTGGCCTGCTGCTGCCTGTGCACGAGCTGAGCGCCTGCTGCTGACGTCACTCACAATGCACTTTTGCAGCCAGGCACGTGTGTTGTGACTGAGTGTGACAGAGAAAATCGTTTTTGTGTCATTTTAGAGGGAAGATGCGTGCATTTTAGCGTTTGAGTTACTTTTCAAAAGTTGCAAAAAGTTCCAAATATATTTTTAGAAGTAGCTACATTTGTTGCAAGGTGCTGTTTGAAAATAAAGTTGACAGGGTAGTCTGAAAAGTTGCTAAATCTAGCAACAAAATTGCTAAGTTGGCATCACTGCTCTCACCAACATACTGTGTCAGGCCACAGCGTTTTTCGGGAACATCCAAATGTGCTCAAGCTGTGCCTAAAGTCCCAGCTCCTAATTTTCCACTCAGTCTAAACAGCAGAGCAGCAGCATCCAGGCTGCAGCAGCCAGCTGACTGGGCAGACTGGGCTTGAGGAAACATCCACCCCATGTAACCTACTGGCTTTGATAGACAGACAGCACTGTCTGTCATTGTGTATATGACTGTGACTAGGCCAGGCTGAGATGCACAGACAGCGATGGCGACAGTATCATACACACACAGACCTGGACCTTCCTCCTCCTCTGTTCTGTCTCCACCCTCAGAGGAGGTGGAGGGCCCAGTGGTCGGGTCATTTCTAGCAGTCATATGGGAGATTGGAGAGATAACCGGGCTGGCTGACCTGTGTCTGAGGAGTCATTTAGTGGCTGCTGTGACCGGCTCACTGCCCAGCTCTCGCTACTGAATGATATGCCCACTAACGAGATTACCACCAGACAATGAAGCCCAACATAATTTGGCTTGCTGAACAACATCGCGCGTGCACACACACACACACACACACACACACACACACACACACACACACACACACACACACACACACACACACACACACACACACACACACACACACACACACACACACACACACACACACACACACACACACACACACACACACACACAAACACCTTGTCCAATTACACCAAAGCGGGTCTAGCTCTTTGGAAACTTCGAAAATCAAATCACATTGTATTTGTCACATGCACCGAATACAACAGGTGTAGACCTTACAGTGAAATGCTTACTTACAAGCCCTTAACCAACAATGCAGTTTTAAGAAAAATAAGTGTTAAGTACAAATAAAATAAAATTAAAGAGCAGCAGTAAAATAACAGTTGCGAGGTTATATACAGGGGGTACCGATACAGAGTCAATGTGCGGGGGCACAGGTTAGTCGAGGTAATTTAGGTAATATGTACATGTAGATAGAGTTAAAGTGACTATGCATAGATAATAAACAGGGGGGGGGGGGGGGGGGGTGAACAATGCAAAAAAGTCTGGGTAGCCATTTGATTAGCTGTTCAGGAGTCTTATGGCTTGGTGGTAGAAGCTGTTAAAAAGCCTTTGTGTGGCTATGGAGAGTTCAAAGGAAAGAGAGGAAGTGGTGATGCTTGCTTTCTCCAGTGGTTAGAATGTAGGGCAAGTCATGTAAATGATGAATGTTCCGAGCCTGCTCCACATCTAGCCTATCCTCCTTCAACTACAAGAAACACATGAGGGTAGCTAAACCTTACCAAGAGTTCCCTCCTCAGAAACTGACTCGTGTTAATGAAGGGACACACAATGTTATGGAAAGAGATTACACAATGTTGAAGGGCTTAGTGTTTGAACATGGGAGCAGAGCTGCAGTGTAAGGGCAGCAGAGTTTAAAGATGGCTATTAGTGAGGCTTCCAGGAATGGTGTTATAGGGTCTATTCTCATTGACGAGAATTAAGGAGAATTTCCAGAGATTCTCAAGAGGTATCGATTCTCGAGAGACATTACTGTAATGTAAACTTGCGTATTTCTCACGTCTCGAACGCTACCTCTGGAGGTCACGCACGGCACTCGCCCGACAGTTTCCCTCCTAAGTAGGGCAGTGTAAACAGAATTGTCTTGTTGAGCCCAACATTCATACAGTAAAAATACTAATAGCAGAGCAATGTTTTTGAAACGGTTGAAATGTATAGACATTTTGTATTATATTTGGGACTTGTTTTATTGAGTTTTCATCTGAAATTGCAGTAAAAGCCTGTGACATTCTAAAATTGTCGCAGTGGAAAGGGAAACTCAACTGTGTTTTTTCTCCAGGCAAGAAGCTGATCAACTCACCAGGGAAATTATCAATGTTTTCAGTCGCAATTGCAATTTTGCATTTACCTCATAAAATGAAGCCTGGTTTGTTCTAAGGTAACTTTAATAAGCTGAAACTGTACATTTATATTCGTATATTGATATGCTGATGTTACTGCTAGCTAGCTGAATTGTTGTATTATTCAAGAGTGTAATGTGGTTTGGTTGTATTACTCAAGAGTGTAGCTAATATGTTTTAGAGGAAAAGTTGCTCGCATTGTTGAATAAAGCCCCACAGTGGAGGTGTCATAATACCCATAAAACCTAGCGGTCAAACAGGGAAATGGTTCCAATTGTTTTTCCACCATTAATTTTTCCCATAGGGGATTTTTGAAACACTTCAAATAAGGGCTGTGTTTCCTGCGGTGACGTTTTGATAACCATGTAAATCTCTCTTGGACAAGGTGACTTTTATCAATATATTCAGCTCTATTTACTCTCAGATTTGAAAAATGCTAATTGGCATCAACGTAGACATCTTGCAAAACTACAAATCCCTGCAAGCTCCTGCATGTCATCTCTAGCTGACACCTTTGCTAAAAGGTATTGTGTCAATTTAAAACTTGCACAAGACAGTTCACAGAATTGTCCATTTAAAGACATTTAGACAATTTATTAATTACTACATTTAGCTAACATTAGATAGTTAATCCAGAGATTCTTACCTTTGTCTCGATTCGGCAGTCTCGTCCAGATCATGGCATTTGTAGTACTTTATGATAGCCACATTAGCAGCTAATTAACGTTTTCATTTTTTTAAAATATATTGATAAAAGTCACCTTGTCCTAGAGCGATTTACACGGTTATCAAAACGTCATGCCAGGGTAAGCCTACATGAAACACATCCCTTATTTGAAGTGTTTCTAAAATCCCCTATGGGAAAAATGAATGGTGGAAAAACCAATGGTGGAACCATTTCCCTGTTTGACCGGTAGGTTTTATGGGTATTATGACTCATACTGTGGTACTCTATAGTTTGCAAGCTTGCTGGCTAGTTAGTAGCTACTGTGATACTGATATTTACGGTACATTTGCAGCTGCAGAGCAAGAATGTCACGTTGCTAGCCACAATGAAAGCTAAGGCAAGGATGTAATGTAAATTGAAAAGTTCATGTCGCTGCCTCTCCTTATAGAGCTGTATGTTAATGATCACAGAGAAGGACCCTGGCAGGAATATGTAAGGGCTGGGGGGGAACCTGTCTTGTTGGCAGAGAGCTGAAGAATTGATCAGGGGGGTGTTGGCAAACATTCAGAGGATAACCGGTTGCTTCAGCAGAGAACTGCCAGACAGTGCAGACAGCCGTGTCAATGATAATAAACAGCCTCTTTCCCCGACAACTGATTCAAACTACCTGCATCTTACTACCTAAACTGATCAAAACTACCGTTGAAGCAATCAATCTAGAGCCTCTTCACATGGAGTCAAATCATGGTTGTGATCCTAAAACCGCAGTGTACAAAAATGTATATTGCTCTGTCACTTAGATTGTGGCTACATTACCAAAGGTGTTAGACACACCAGATTCGATCTGTTCCATATGCTATATTGGTTATGGATTCCTGAATCCCCTCCCTGGGTGTAGAAGAGGTGCAGAAATCAATACTTTTCAGTCTGACACACTTGCTGTTAGGGCTGGGAATTGCCAGGGACCTCACGATACAGTGAGGGAAAAAAGTATTTGATCCCCTGCTGATTTTGTACGTTTGCCCACTGACAAAGAAATGATCAGTCTATAATTTTAATGGTAGGGTTATTTGAACAGTGAGAGACAGAATGTCAAAAAATTTATAAATTGATTTGCATTTTAATGAGGGAAATAATTATTTGACCCCCTCTCAATTAGAAAGATTTCTGGCTCCCAGGTGTCTTTTATACAGGTAACGAGCTGAGATTAGAGCACACTCTTAAAGGGAGTGCTCCTAATCTCAGCTTGTTACCTGTATAAAAGACACCTGTCCACAGAAGCAATCAATCAGATTCCAAACTCTCCACCATGGCCAAGACCAAAGAGCTCTCCAAAGATGTCAGGGACAAGATTGTAGACCTACACAAGGCTGGAATGGGCTACAAGACCATCGCCAAGCAGCTTGGTGAGAAGGTGACAACAGTTGGTGCGATTATTCGCAAATGGAAGAAACGCAAAATAACTGTCAATCTCCCTCGGCCTGGGGCTCCATTCAAGATCTCACCTTGTGGAGTTGCAATGATCATGAGAACGGCGAGGAATCAGCCCAGAACTACACGGGAGGATCTTGTCAATGATCTCAAGGCAGCTGGGACCATAGGCACCAAGAAAACAATTGGTAACACACTACGCCGTGAAGAACTGAAATCCTGCAGCGCCCGCAAGGTCCCCCTGCTCAAGAAAGCACATATACATGCCCGTCTGAAGTTTGCCAATGAACATCTGAATGATTCAGAGGAGAACTGGGTGAAAGTGTTGTGGTCAGATGAGACCAAAATCGAGCTCTTTGGCATCAACTCAACTCGCTGTGTTTGAAGGAGGAGGAATGCTGCCTATGACCCCAAGAACACCATCCCCACCGTCAAACATGGAGGTGGAAACATTATGCTTTGGGGGTGTTTTTCTGCTAAGGGGACAGGACAACTTCACCGCATCAAAGGGACGATGGACGGGGCCATGTACCGTCAAATCTTGGGTGAGAACCTCCTTCCCTCAGCCAGGGCATTGAAAATGGGTCGTGGATGGGTATTCCAGGATGACAATGACCCAAAACACACGGCCAAGGCAACAAAGGAGTGGCTCAAGAAGAAGCACATTAAGGTCCTGGAGTGGCCTAGCCAGTCTCCAGACCTTAATCCCATAGAAAATCTGTGGAGGGAGCTGAAGGTTCGAGTTGCCAAACGTCAACCTCGAAACCTTAATGACTTGGAGAAGATCTGCAAAGAGGAGTGGAACAAAATCCCTCCTGAGATGTGTGCAACTACAAGAAACATCTGACCTCTGATTGCCAACAAGGGTTTTGCCACCAAGTACTAAGTAATGTTTTGCAGAGGGGTCAAATACGTATTTCCCTCATTAAAATGCAAATCAATTTATAACATTTTTGACATACGTTTTTCTGGATTTTGTTGTTATTCTGTCTCTCACTGTTCAAATAAACCTACCATTAAAATTATAGACTGATCATGTTTTTGTCAGTGGGCAAACGTACAAAATCAGCAGGGGGGATCAAATACTTTTTTCCCTCACTGTAGGTGCCGATACTATATGTATTGCGATTCTCACGATTCTATATATTGCTCACCATGTCTGCTGCAGAGGGACGAGAGAGCCATGAGAAAACAAGTTTTGATCAGTCATGAAAATAAAAGTGCTGAAAACAAATTGGCTCACAATTAAAATGAAGATGTAGAACAAGCTATAAAGGAAAAATACTGGAGTTTTGGTGCAGGGACAAGGACTAGCGCAAAAATTAATTTCCTGATACACTACATGACCAGAAGTATGTGGACACCTGCTCGTCGAACATCTCATTCCAAAATCATGGGCATTAATACGGAGTTATTCCCCCTTTGCTGCTATAACACTCTTCTGGGAAGGCTTTCCACTAGATGTATGATTATTGCTGCAGGGACTTGCTTCCATTCAGCCACAAGATAATTAGTGAGTTCGGGCACTGATGTTTGGCGATTAGGCCTGACTCGCAATCAGCGTTCCAATTCATCCCAAAGGTGTCCGATGGGGTTGAGGTCAGGGCTCTGTGCAGGCCAGTCAAGTTCTTCCACACCAATCTCGACAAACCATTTCTGTGCACGGGTGTATTGTCATGCTGAAACAGGAAAGGGCCTTCCCCAAACTGATGCCACAAAGTTGGAAGCACAGAATCGTCTAGAATGTCATTGTATGCTGTAGCATTAAGATTTCCCTTCACTGGAACTAAGGGGCCTGAACCATGAAAAACTGCCCCAGACCATTATTCCTCCTCCACCAAACTTTACAGTTGGCACTAAGCATTGGGGCAGGTAGCGTTCTCCTGGCATCCGCCAAACCCAGATTTGTCTGTCGGACTGCCAGATGGTGAAGCGGGATTCATCACTCCAGAAAATGCATTTCCACTGCTCCAGAGTCCAATGGCGGCAAGGTTTACACCACTCCAGCCGACACTTGGAATTGCGCATGGTGATCTTAGGCTTGTGTGCGGCTGCTCGGCCATGGAAACCCATTTCATGAAGCTCCCAACAAACAGTTATTGTGCTGACGTTGCTTCCAGAGGCAGTTTGGAACTAGGTAGTGAGTGTTGCAACCAGGGGCGGCCTGTTCAATAGGGCGATATGGGCGACGCACTGCCAAACGGGAAAAGGAAGGGATTTTTTTTCTAATCAATTATATCACGGCAACAGTAGTTATCAGTGTTGTAATCTATACGTCTGATCTGCCACAGTGCCACACTGCCACTAAATGTCGAATCAGGCTAAAGTCGTGCTTCAAATGGCTCCCCCCCCTTTTGGGGCGATTTCAGTCAGGTTGAAAATCGCCCAGAAGTCTGTAATAGACTCCCATGTAAAATCTTTTTTTTTCAAATTTCAGAGCCTTCAATACAATCTCAATGGGTGTCTGTGGGCTTGCACTTACGCGCTTTCGTCATACGTTACGTAACCATGAACGTAACTGAGAAAAGAGTGGATTGTTTGAAAGAAGTTCCTTTTTGTCGGCGAACAAATGGAGATAAATTGGCAACGAAACAATTAGGACCTCCCAGACCAAATTTAATAATTCAACAGGTTTCTACTAAAGGCGGAAAGTCCTACACCCGAGGATTTTCCAAAAATTGGTACGAACGAAAAAAGACATTGCCACTCACTCAACTGGATGACGAGGGATACAGGCTAGCTGTCCGCCGCCACAACGATGAGGTTAGTGTTGATAATCACAAGTTTACTGGATGTGGATATGGTGTAATAAAGGCAGTTTATTCAGAGGTAAATATATCTGGAATCACGTTCACGGACCCGTTCGTCAAACTCTTAGGGAGCTATAAATTAAGCCCCATTACTTACCATATCAGATAAGAGAAATTGCTGCAGCTACATATATTTTACATCCTGGCCCTACATAGTTCACTATTTGCATCACTTACCAAAATATTACATGTGGTCATATATGCTTGGAAAGTGGAGATGCCATAGAACGTCAAAAAAGTAAACATTGCTGGAGACACATTGCCGTTTTGGAGAAGACATCGCGTTTGCTAGCGAAGAGATTTGTTGTGGCAAATGAACTTGGGCTGGGAATTGCCAGGAACCTCACGATAAGATATATGCATCAGCATTGCGAGTCTCATGATTCTATACGTATTGCGATTCGATACTGTGATTTTATTGCGCACCATATGTCTGTTGCAGAGCGATCAGAAAGCCATGAGAACGAGTTTTGATCAGTCATGGAAATAAAAGTGCTGAAAACAAATTTGCTCCCAATGTGAAAAGATTGAGAACAAGCTATGAAGGAACAATAATGGTGTTTTGGTGCAGGTACAGCCAACTAGCGCTAAAATATTGCGATATTGTCAATACAGTATATCGTAAAGTATCACTATGTAACTCGATTTCTTTCACCCCAATCCCTCAAATTAACGGTAAATAACTGAATTGTTTGCCCCACATTTAGCTAAGATGATTAGCTAGCCAGCTAAAATGTTTTATTTAGTTAGCAGTCGCATCTACAATAGTTTACTGTCAATAACATGTCTCCAAAAATGACGTGGTGTCTCCAATTGTGTTGACATTTTACAATTGCAATGCGCATCCATGAGTATCCACTTTCTGTAGCTCAGCTGGTAGAGCATGGTGCTTGTAACGCCAAGGTAGTGGGTTCGATCCCCGGGACCACCCATACACAAAAATGTATGCACGCATGACTGTAAGTCGCTTTGGATAAAAGCGTCTGCTAAATGGCATATTATTATTATTATTATTATTATTATTATCTGAAGAGAGCCCCGAAACATTGTGTGCAGACATTTTATGCAATAAATGAAGTAGGTTCAATCTAGTAGTTCTGATCTTCTGATTGGTCCTGATGAGTTGGGCGAGGTCCCCTGCAGGCTACTGTCACTGTTGCATTGGCTCTGAGTCGGGTTCTCTGTCTTCAAATGTTCAGCCTAAGAGAGGGGATTTTTGTGTGTGTGTGTGTGTGTGTGTGTTTAACAGTGATGATGTGTGTGTGTGTGTGTGTGTTTAACAGTGATGATGTGTGTGTGTGTGTGTGTTTGTGTGTGTGTGTGTCCTCAGAGCAAGAACTCGTGAGTTGGAAGAACTGAGAGGCCTATGGCTTGGGTGTTGTCCTTGGCCACCTGCTGACAAGGCTGACAAGATAGGACCCTTTTGTCCATTGTTATTGGATAGGAACAGAACTTATAACCAGCTCCTGACCTAAATAGATCTTAGCACAACATTTTACTCAACATATCATATTCCATATTCACTATAACAAATATATTTACTACGACATTAGCAAGAACCGCCACATCCTCAGCCGGCTAATCCAGTGTGTGAAGTTTTGCGGAGTGTTTGAGTTAGCTTTGCGAGGCAAAGATGAAACTGAGGGCTCCACCAACCCTGGTAAGCCAACACTTTTGAGATCAGTCAATAAATGCTTCTGGTATTGACTTATATGCTGCCCCTGTCTTCATGTTGTTGCTGGACATATCTTTTTTTAAATGTGTGTAGGTCACCTAAATCATCAGAAAAATTGCCCCTCCTGAGAATTTTTTCAGGAGCCGCCACTGGTTGCAACCAAGGACAGATTATTTTTACGCGCTACGTGCTTCAGCACTCGGCGGTCCCGTTCTGTGAGCTTGTGTGGCCTACCACTTTGTGGCTGAGCCGTTGTTGCTCCTAGTCATTCCACTTCACAATAACAGCACTTACAGTTGACGGGGCAGCTCTAGCAGGGCGAACTGACTTGTTGGAAAGGTGGCATCCTATGACGGTGCCACGTTGAAAGTCACTGAGCTCTTCAGTATGGGCCATTCTACTGCCAATGTTTGTCTATTGACATTGCATGGCTGTGTACTCGATTTTATACACCTGTCAGCAACTGGTGTGGCTGAAATGGCCAAATCCACGAATTTGAAGGGGTGTCCACATACTTTTGTATATATAGTGTATGTAACTGTATAATTTTTTCCCCCCATCACTACTTGCTGTCCTCCTGTGTACAAACGCTCCCTCACGGTGAAAGCAGCCAAGAAGACAAACTACTGTGTTTTCTTTCTCCTTCAAGGAAGATCTGTGCTGATGACACATGACTCATAGTTTCTCCTCGCCCCTGTGACTCACCTATTCCAGGCCTGTATATATACAGTGGGGAGAACAAGTATTTGATACACTGCCGATTTTGCAGGTTTTCCTACTTAAAAAGCATGTAGTCTGTAATTTTTATCATAGGTACACTTCAACTGTGAGAGACGGAATCTAAAACAAAAATCCAGAAAATCACATTGTATGATTTTTAAGTAATTAATTTGCATTTTATTGCATGACATAAGTATTTGATCACCTACCAACCAGTAAGAATTCCGGCTCTCACAGACCTGTTAGTTTTTCTTTAAGAAGCCCTCCTGTTCTCCACTCATTACCTGTATTAACTGCACCTGTTTGAACTCGTTATCTGTATAAAAGACACCTGTCCACACACTCAATCAAACAGACTCCAACCTCTCCACAATGGCCAAGACCAGAGAGCTGTGTAAGGACATCAGGGATACAATTGTAGACCTGCACAAGGCTGGGATGGGCTACAGGACAATAGGCAAGCAGCTTGGTGAGAAGACAACAACTGTTGGCGCAATTATTAGAAAATGGAAGAAGTTCAAGATGACGGTCAATCACCCTCGGTCTGGGGCTCCATGCAAGATCTCACCTCGTGGGGCATCAATGATCATGAGGAAGGTGAGGGATCAGCCCAGAACTACACGGCAGGACCTGGTCAATGACCTGAAGAGAGCTGGGACCACAGTCTCAAAGAAAACCATTAGTAACACACAGGCCCGTCTGAAGTTTACCAATGACCATCTGGATGATCCAGAGGAGGAATGGGAGAAGGTGTGGTCTGATGAGACAAAAATAGAGCTTTTTGGTCTAAACTCCACTCGCCGTGTTTGGAGGAAGAAGAAGGATGAGTACAACCCCAAGAACACCATCCCAACCGTGAAGCATGGAGGTGGAAACATCATTCTTTGGGGATGCTTTTCTGCAAAGGGGACAGGACGACTGCACCGTATTGAGGTGAGGATGGATGGGGCCATGTATCGCGAGATCTTGGCCAACAACCTCCTTCCCTCAGTAAGAGCATTGAAGATGGGTCGCGGCTGGGTCTTCCAGCATGACAACGACCCAAAACACACAGCCAGAGCAACTAAGGAGTGGCTCCATAAGAAGCATCTCAAGGTCCTGGAGTGGCCTAGCCAGTCTCCAGACCTGAACCCAATAGAAAATCTTTGGAGGGAGCTGAAAGTCCGTATTGCCCAGCGACAGCCCTGAAACCTGAAGGATGTGGAGAAGGTCTGTATGGAGAAGTGGGCCAAAATCCCTGCTGCAGTGTGTGCAAACCTGGTCAAGACCTACAGGAAACGTATGATCTCTGTAATTGCAACCAAAGGTTTCTGTACCAAATATTAAGTTCTGCTTTTCTGATGTATCAAATACTTATGTCATGCAATAAAATGCAAATGAATTACTTAAAAATCATACAACGTGATTTTCTGGATTTTTGATTTTAGATTCCGTCTCTCACAGTTGAAGTGTACCTATGATAAAAATTACAGACCTCTACATGCTTTGTAAGTAGGAAAACCTGCAAAATCGGCAGTGTATCAAATACTTGTTCTCCCCACTATATTGAAGCAACATCTCAAGACATCAGTCAGGAAGTTAAAGCTTGGTCGCAAATGGGTCTTCCAAATGGACAATGACCCCAAGCATACTTCCAAAGTTGTGGCAAAATGGCTTAAGGACAACAAAGTCAAGGTATTGGAGTGGCCATCACAAAGCCCTGACCTCAATCCTATAGAAAATATGCGGGCAGAACTGAAAAAGCGTGTGCGAGCAAGGAGGCCTACAAACCTCCCGAGTGGCGCAGCGGTCTAAGGCACTGCATCTCAGTGCTTGAGGCGTCACTACAGACCCCCTGGTTCGATTCCAGGCTGTATCACAACCGGCCGTGATTGGTAGTCCCATAGGGCGGCGCACAATTGGCCCAGCGTCGTCCGGGTTTGGCCGGTGTAGGCCGTCATTGTAAATAAGAATTAGTTCTTAACTGACTTGCCTAGATAAATAATGGTAAAATATATATATATATATATATATATATATATATATATATATATATATATATATATATATATATATATATATTTTTTTTTTTTAAACCTGACTCAGTTACACCAGCTCTGTCAGGAGGAATGGGCCAAAATTCACCCAATTTATTGTGGGAAGCTTGTGGAAGGCTACCTGAAACGTTTGACCCAGTTTAAACAATTTAAAGGCAATGCTACCAAATACTATTTGACCCACTGGGAATGTGATGAAAGAAATAAAAGCTGAAATAAATCATTCTCTCTACTATTATTCTGACATTTCACATTAAAATAAAGTGGTGATCCTAACTGACCTAAGACTAATGTCAGGAATTGTGAAAAACTGAGTTTAAATGTATTTGGCTAAGGTCTATGTAAACTTCCGACTTCAACTGTATTAATCTAAGCTCACTAGGCCTAAATCACAATGCTGTTTTCCTCTGTGTGGGCTTTCACAACTTTAGTGGAAGTTTCTTGGCTTTACTTTAGTGAATGCAATGAAATCCCAAGTAAGCTGTGTGTGTTTCTGTGTGTATCCAGAGGACGTGTTCAGCTCGGCATCCTATGAGCAGCTCATTATTCATGATAGGACTGGGGCTGTTTTTGTTCCTGTCTTTGTCAGTGCAGGGAGCCTGTTGGAAGCCAATAACCCTATTTAGCTCCTGAGCAAGGCTCTGCCGTATTTAATAAGGCCTTCAGCTGGGAGGAATGTTTGGGGAAATGTATGAAGCCCCTGTGCGTGTTTAGGAAATGTGTTAATAATCGGCCAACCAGCCGCGACCCAGTTCCCTGCCATTCGGCATCCGGGGGAAAACGTCACGTTTGGTCCGCCTGCTGAGATGGACAGGGGAGAGTCTATGGTTGTCTCCGTAGAGACAGACTGGATTTTCAAACAGCATCAGACAGTGTTGCCTCTCTCTCTTAGTATCTTGGATCAAGATGATTCTGAAATGTTCAATGCTATAGGCCTATACGCTGATCGGCTTGCTACCTCACAGAACAAGTTCAGTTCCAATTACACTGGATTAAAGTCAACTTGTCAGCAGTCAGACAACAGAACGAGGGCCCTGGAAGTGGAGAGGCCTGTATAAACGGCACTCCTCCTCTCTCAGGATTGGTCCTCAGCCTGGGAGAGGAGTGTGCCCTCTGACCTACTGCAGGCTGGAGCTGGCCCTGAGAGAAATGGAACCTGCTGATGATCCTACTGCAGGCTGAAGCTGGCCCTGAGAGAAATGGAACCTGCTGATCCTACTGCAGGCTGGAGCTGGCCCTGAGAGAAATGGAACATGCTGATGATCCTACTGCAGGCTGGAGCTGGCCCTGAGAGAAATGGAACCTGCTGATGATCCTACTGCAGGCTGGAGCTGGCCCTGAGAGAAATGGAACCTGCTGATGATCCTACTGCAGTCTTCTTATCATTAAAATGTAAAGCCACGTTCTGTCTGGGAGGCTCTGTTCACAGCACTGGGAGATTGTTTTCCTTAGTCCAGGTCCTTGAATAGGCTCTGTTCAAAACTGTATAGAAACTACACATATTTGTCTGTTTCACATTTATTTTGTAGCTTATTAAGGACATGGGCTTGTTCCGTCAACACATCGTAAACCAAATTACATGGAGTGGCTGCCTGGCCTGTTTCTGTGCCAAAGAGCAGAGAACTGAATTTGAAGAGTGTTGTTGGCTTGGCTATTTGACTCGATATAGTCAACAGGAAGCAATTTTCCAGTACTGCGGAGTACTTTCCGCAGAAGCAAATAAATAACAGCTGTTGTAATGACCCCGTCTATCCTGCTTTACTGTCAATCCCATTTAGACTTATGTTATCCCTCTGGCTATTGGGACTGGAGAAGAGCTTAACTATAACCTTCACAGGCAGCATGACATTGAACACATTCTCAAGCCCTGCACCTGAAGTCCTGCTCCTCTTCTGGCACTAAGCATCTTCAGTCAGATGAGGATCTGCCTCTGTCTGATAAATGGATTTTGTTCACTGTGTGTCTGCGGTGGGCTGGGCTCAGGGGACCTCTGTATAGCCCTGTGCTGCCTGTTGGAGACAGCAGCTCCAGCTCCACTGCCTGGTGTCCTCCTTCTGTCTGATGAAACTTGGAGGTGGATTAGAGGGAGAAAGAGAGACGGCCCGGTTCTGCCATGGAGGGAGTGCCCTGGAGGAGACGAGACCCACTTTCTCTCTGACAGAACCCTCTCTGGAGACCTCCTTTCCTCAGACCCAGTTCTCTCTCGATCTCCCCCCCCCCCCCCCCCCCCCCCCCGATTCCTCTCCTCAGCCTGGCTTGCCCTCTGTGTAGACCTGCTGTCCCGGTGTTCACTGCCCAGGCAGGACCGTAGAAGGTTATTCTAATACAGCCTTCTTTAATCAATAAGTCATAAAAGGCTTTTAGGCCGTTAGGAGGAGGTCGTCTCTGAGATACCTGAACCTCCCACTGAGGCTGAGACAGAAGTAGAAGTCTGACGACAACCTTGAGTTGAACTTAGTTTGACGTTTTTCCCAACAGCAAGTGGAAGGAAAGGAATGGTGCCCTATGTTGCTGTAGGACAATTGGTCAACATCAAATCAACGGACTTAATCTAATGTTATGCACCAATTTCATTCAACAGAGGAACTTGATTAAATTTGTGCTCCAGTAAATCAGTAATTCACCTCGTTAGTAAACTAGGAACAATGCTGTATGTGTGTGTCTCTAGTCAGTGGCTGCTAATATGTTGTTGTTGTGTTGCAGAGGGAGATGAAGGAGCAGCTGGCCACTCTGCAGGACAGTGAGAAGGGACACACAGAGGCCCTGCAGCTACTGCAGAGACAACTCACTGAGACCAAGGTAACACAACCCACATACTATTACTCACTGAGACCAAGGTAACACAACCCACATACTATTACTCACTGAGACCAAGGTAACACAGCCCACATACTATTACTCACTGAGACCAAGGTAACACAACCCACATACTATTACTCACTGAGACCAAGGTAACACAACCCACATACTATTACTCACTGAGACCAAGGTAACCATACCCAGCCCACATACTATTACTCACTGAGACCAAGGTAACACAGCCCACATACTATTACTCACTGAGACCAAGGTAACACAGCCCACATACTATTACTCACTGAGACCAAGGTAACACAGCCCACATACTATTACTCACTGAGACCAAGGTAACACAACCCACATACTATTACTCACTGAGACCAAGGTAACACACACTTCTCTACTCACTGAGACCGAGGTAACACACACTTCTCTACTCACTGAGACCGAGGTAACACACACTTCTCTACTCACTGAGACCGAGGTAACACACACTTCTCTACTCACTGAGACCGAGGTAACACACACTTCTCTACTCACTGAGACCGAGGTAACACACACTTCTCTACTCACTGAGACCGAGGTAACACACACTTCTCTACTCACTGAGACCGAGGTAACACACACTTCTCTACTCACTGAGACCGAGGTAACACACACTTCTCTACTCACTGAGGACCGAGGTAACACACACTTCTCTACTCACTGAGACCGAGGTAACACACACTTCTCTACTCACTGAGACCGAGGTAACACACACTTCTCTACTCACTGAGACCGAGGTAACACACACTTCTCTACTCACTGAGACCGAGGTAACACACACTTCTCTACTCACTGAGACCGAGGTAACACACACTTCTCTACTCACTGAGACCGAGGTAACACACACCAAGCACACAAATCCACTTAGACCAAAGTATAGAGAGCCTTTTGACCTATTAGATACCAAGGTAAATCACCAGTGTGTCCTGTCTCTCTCATTCTATCTTTCTCTCTACCTCCGTTTCTCCTACAACTGACAGTGAGAATCCAAACAGCAAATTGGTTCATTGAGCATCTCTTTAATCTCGACACCTTGATTTAACCAGCAGAGCCAGCGCATCCAGTCGATACAACAGCTTCTCCTCTCCTTTTCATTCTGTCTCATCTCTCCCCCTTAAGCGTCTTTGAGCTGTAGCTGTCGGAGAGGGAGGGCTCTCTGACAGATAGGGTTTGTGCCGTCAGCGGTATTTGTCATTTGGGATGCATCGTTCTTCCTGCTGTTTACATGCTGGCTGTCCACTGGCATGCCAGCCAAGCCAGCGCCCTCCCGTCTTCCTGTCCTGTTTTGTCCTGTCTGCTTGAGTTCTGCAATGCATGACTTTACCCTGGCTTTGGCCAAGAGAGGCAGACCTGCCTGCTTCCACTGCCATCAACTCCAGCTGACTGCCAGCTGGAGGTCTCCATTGTAAATCAGCCCATCTCATTAGGTTTGCGTTCATTTGTCCGAAGTGATGTGCGTTGCCTGGAAGAGGGCCATAAATCGATCTCTCTGTCTCACAGATGCATTTAGGTTAATGACAATGAATTGCTATTCTGGCCTTCCTGCTTGACCTCACACAGAAACCAAAGGAGAATTGATTAGTAGGATCAAACACTCAAAACACCCATAATCCTCTCTACCCCTCTCTCCTCTTTCACCGGCAACATGAAGGTGCTGAAACGGGAAACTTTGAGCAGGGTGGTGTGAGGCTGCCATTACCATTTGTTTTTGGTGTGACTCTTTAATGTCCCTTAACACTGCTGTTTGTCAGTTAATTGGTTTATATTGGTTATGGTGCTCTAGTTTAGTTCCAGCCCTGGGACCATGTGTTTAGGGACGTCCCCTTCCCCGTCTGAAGAGCAGACGACGTCTGATTCCCAGGCCCGTGGGGGTTCGCCTGATAAGCACATGCTGCTGCTCTGAGACCCAGCCTCCTCTCCCTGTAGGCTTAATATGGGCTTTTAAATATTCACCCTGCCATAGCCATAACACCCTGCAGGGACATGGCACATCAGTGTTCCACTGCTGCAGGCCTCATCAGTACTGTCCTCCTCTCTTTGTCACCAGGTGGAGGAGAGCAGCCCACAGCCCACCGTAAACACACCCCACTCCTGCCCTGCTCTGTACTAGAGATAAATGATATTAATAGGCTGAAAGCTCCCAGCAGCACAGAGATAATATCTGCCTGCTTCTAGGTTCCTACTGGAACAAGCTTGCTGCTGGATGGAGATGGATTGATCGATCGCAGGCAGTAGTTATAAAACCCAGATTATAATGCTGCTGCCCCTGCTCATCCGAACTCCATCCGAACTCCAACTGTGATGGAGAGGAGTAGAGGAGTCATTCCACCAATTGAGTACCTTTTGGGTAGTGTAGTTTTAGTTCACTTCATTTTAACATTCTGTCAAAAAGAGCACATGTTCAGCATTAAAAAAAAACTAGTTTTCTCATCTCAAGGTTATATAAAAAAGACTATTGTAAGTGCCTATTAAGTGCCAAATATAGTAACAGGGTTGAGGATTTCATCTTAAATCAGCTATACATCCTCTTGTGATAAGGGGAATGGAAGCTTGTTGTGTGCAACAGAGAGGGGCAATTGAATGCAACCTTAAAAAAATAAAAAATCTAATGTTTAAACATTTCTAGCCTGTCTATCTGTGGGTAACAGGGTTTGACGTGTTATGCTCGACCCACTCTGTTTTCCACCACAAAACACAAGAAAATGGTCAAAAAGAGTAGACCCAGCTCACCTGGTTTTACACTATGATGTGACTGTTAGATATTCAATGTTTCTTTTGAAAAATATATTTAAAAAGGAATTGTTTTACCATATTAAAATGAGTTTACTTCACATAACAAGATTGACCTTAAAATGATGAATCACTAATCACATTAAATAAATAATAATCTTCAGAAGTTACTTTGTCAAAGCAATAAAATAACTAGGGATTTACATTTACCACATTTCCATCCAGAGTCATACCGTATAAAAATAAAAATAAATCACTACAGCTCTGATGGAAACAGTCAATTTCTGTACAATTTTCTGTACAAATTTTTAAATGCCGACAGATAATTTGTTCGTTCGACTTTGGGATTTTTTTGTGTCTGTAAAGTTAATAATGTGATAGATGGTGGTGGAAATGCCTTTAAGCGCATATATTTATATGATAACCATCATATCGAAGTAAACTTGGAGTCACGCGATGATATGGTGTGTGGTCCTCCCACTACGACTCTGGAAAATGTGCATATTTTCTTAATGCAGATTTTTGAATATTCACATGAAAATCTGTCGCCAATTGGATGGAAACCTAGCTCGTGATGGTGAACTTGGAGAAATGTGGTTAAGTCAGTCACAAAGGGTGCACAGTCAAAGTGCATAATTTTCATTTAAAAATCAATATTGGTGCACAATTTCTACTTAAAATATCAAAGGGACGCAAAAGGCACTCTCTTTGTGGAACGACCCAGAGACTACTAGAACTAGTTTACCAGTAAACTACCAGAACTTTGGTGTCTTTCAAGGATTTTATGTAATTTATCACAAGACATCTAGTAGCCTTCTATGGTACTTCAGATGATCACAGGTGTCTGTATTTATCTATGGCCCTCTTTAAATAAGATGATTTTATAATTTAAAAAATTGATGACAGCTGTAAAGCATTATCCTAAATATAAACCATCAATTTAGTGAATACCATTGGTGTTTAATATTTTGTATTTTGGTATTTATTAGGATCTCCATTAGCTGCAAAAGCATCAGCTATTCTTCCTGGGGTCCAATACATAGTATAGAACATTATTAGTCAAGGACTGAAATATGAGGGTTTCAGCATGAAATATCTTTTATTTTCATTTAAAAAAATTACACACATTTATTTTACTATGTCAATGTTTTGGCGTCAAACTGGTGGTAGTTGTGAGAAAAGTCAATAGTTGGATGAGTTGCGGAGGTAATAAAAAATAATGCCATTGTTGATTAGATGCTTTTTTCATTAATTAGGCAATTTTCTCTTGAACCTTATGGTCTATCTATTAGTAAACTCATGGACAATACAGACACAGATATAACAAAATGAATACTATATCGGCTAATATTTGTAACGTGATCCTGCGTTGTGTACTGTATAATGTGAAATAAAAATAAAATGTTGATCACAATAAAAAAAAAAAGAATACTATATACTATACTTTAAAAAAAGTATTATTCAGGTAGCGGGGTGGCAGGTAGCTTAGTGGTTAAGAGCATTGTGCCAGTAACCGAAAGGTCGCTGGTTCTAATCCCCAAGCCGACTAGGTGAAAAATCTGTCGGTGCCCTTGAGCAAGGCACTTAACCCTAATTGCTCCTGTAAGTCGCTCTGGATAAGAGCATCTGCTAAATGACTAAAATGTAAATATATTACCAAAGTTACGATAGAATGACATAGATTTTCAGTGAATTACCAAAATTACTGAAGATTCTGGTAACTTTGGTAAATTACCGGCAGCTTTGCAACCCTAACTACAACAGAGCTTAGAATGTCCGACAAAGATAATGTTTCCTTTGTACAGACGGACAGAAGCCCTGAGTGAGAAGCTGCTCCCTCTCCAGTTGTTACTGGACTGAGCATATAGATCTCCTCTCTTTGTTCTGTGTCTATGCTGCTACTGCTGTTAGCATTGGAGGTGATTAATTTCCGCTACACTATAAATATATTCACCCAACTCTCTCCTCTCCTCAGCTTCTGCTCCTTTTCCCCTCATCAACAGCCCTGCTCTTTCTAAAATAGCATCCGTTTATCTGACTATCCGCAGGCCTTGTAAATGTTGCCTTAAACACACAGCTAGTCAACCCCCAGTCGACCCCACAGCATCAGCCTCTTAAAACATGCTCTCCATCTCACAAGCAGCGCCACCATTGAAACAGCACACTCTTCCACTGTCCCAACCTCCCACTGAGCTTTGCCCTGTTTAACTCCAAATGCTATCTGCATAGGCTGTTCTTATGATCGCACATTTTGAATTGAGTTACTGAGTGTTGGATGATCTATAACAGCAGATGAGGTTTTGATGTCCTTAGAAGCCCTGCCTTTGACTATGTTAGCCAGATTTTATTAAATCAATGAGTTCACATTTACATAATCGTTAGGCTAGGTGATAGAAGGTTTATAAGGGTGGCTGACTTTCATCCAACTAAGAGTGACAGAGAGGCACTTGATTAGATACACGTTTTCTATTGATGTGTTTAATGCTTGGCGCACAACCTTCACATCCTAAATAAACAACCTCTCATCTCTCTGTTATCTCTCTCTCGCTCTCATTCCAGTCGTCGGCCAAGGGCCTGCGTGCGACCATCGGCGAGGCATTTGAACGTCTGCAGCGGTTCCTGCGAGAGCGCCAGAAGGCCATGCTGGAGGAGCTGGAGACGGACACGGCGCGCACGCTCTCCGACATCGAGCACAAGATCCAGCGCTTCAGCCAGCAGCTGCGTGACGTCAAGGAGGGCGTCGGCATCCTGCAGGAGCGTCTCAACGAGACGGGACGCCACGACTTCCTGGAGGGCGTGGCCCTCACCTCCGAGAGGTGCTCTGCTTACTGTCTGACTGACCTTGGATCAGCTCTTCTTCCAAAAAGCCACAGTCCTAAACTTTTGTAAGATAGTACGCTGTCTGAGGTTATGTTATGTTATGTTACCCTCCCAACTTAAGACCATCCCCTGAATGTAATGAATGTAACCCATTCTGCTCATCGTCAGGATACTGATAGCGATACTGATACTGATAGCTTGGAGATAAAGTGTAGAGTTAAGCAACAAGGCTTATCCCAGGTCTCTGACAGATGACTTATTAGGGCAGATATACCAGACTCATTATTTTAAAGCGGGTGCTCGGGGGTTTAAGTTAAAGTATTTAAGATCTTAGAAGGGATTGATAAGGTGGACTAAGGAAGTTGTTGCCTCAGAATGCTTTCTAACAACCGGTCCAGAGGGCATTGACAGGAATGAGTGAAGAATGAACTGATATACAGGTTTGCCTTCTCACAAAGTTACAAAGATGCCAGGAAGTGTAGTACTGGCAGAAACCCTTGGAAAATGTGAGAACAGGCTTGACAAGGTTGTGGTTTCTCCTCAGGCGAACTCTCACATAGACTCACAGCAGGTGAATGGTTAGCTTTGCATAATTTTCTATTTAAATGTTTCAATGTTCCTCAGGATTTTCAGTGTACAGCTGTGCAGCCCTATGGTTCCCAGGCAGGGTTGAGAGGGGGGTTCAAATTAAAACCACCACCTCTTCCTGCCTGAACCAAAGGATACATGTGGGAGGAATGAGAATGACTAATGTGGTGGTGGATACTGTAATAGCATCACAGCTGACCCCCTCCATCATCCATATCAATCTACACTGCTGTAGAATATTACGTGGGCATCCAGAGTCTGACAGATGCTTTTATCAACAACAAACAGAGAAAATAGAGCAATTACTAGAGACATCTCAGAGAGAGAGAGAGAAGTGAATGTAAAAGTAGATCGATAATTGACAATGGCATTGACATTGATCGTCCTTCTCCACCCACAGGATAAAAGGAAAGATACATGAGACCAATCTAACATATGAAGATTTCCCGACCTCCAAGTACATGGGGCCCCTGCAGTACACAATATGGAAGTCTCTATTTCAGGATATTTCACCAGGTATGCACCACCTATGTTAACCCTCACACAATTCAACTGTGTAACAGCATGGGCTTCAGCAGGAGCCTCTTATGAACTGTTAGATGCACCCAAATACCTCAGCACATCATTCAGTAATGAAACAAATCATTGTCTTTCACCATGGATTTTTACTCCAAAGGGTGCTCTTAAGCAAGGCACTTAACCCTAATTGCTCCGGTAAGATCGCTCTGGATAAGAGTGTCTGCTAAATGACATAGATTTAGGTGTAAATTGGGCTTTGATTGATGCCTTGTAAATAATGGTAACCTTAGAAAAAAAAAACTCCCACAGTGTGAGCTAATCCTGCATTAAATATCTGGGATGTTTGTGAGCTTTGTGAGAAGATGGTGGCTGGAGGGTTGAGATGCCCTTCATTGTTAGGAAAGCTGATGAAGATCTCTCTTATTTTCCCTCCTCTTCTCCCTGAGCCCACAGCCATCACTCACTCTCAGAGAAGGTTCTTTAAAATAACGCACTAGGGAATAGTTCACTCCTTCAGTCCATTCTCTCAGTTTGGCCTCCTGTAGCTGGGGATAAGGCAGGGTGGTTTCTTGACCTCCCTTGACTGTGTGCCAAATGGAACAATTGGTTCAGATCCATCACCACTAGCTGCCACAGTGACAGCACAAAGCCTTTTCTCCCATCATCCCTCTCTCTCTGCAGATGCTAGTTTAGGGGATTAATAGTAGTCTACCCCTCCTCTTCTCTCAAACCCAGTGCCCTTTTTCATCCATTTTCCCAACTAGAAAATGGCATATGTGTTAATGACTTGAGTGTATGAATGCATGTGTTTGTATGTGTGCAAGAGATATTATGACATTTTCATGAATTGATTGAAACACTGCCTGGCTATGTCATTGCGTGGTGAAGACATTGTCCTGCCTGCTGGCTAGTGGCAAGGCCTCCTGTTTATACTGTGAGATATAAACACTGAGGAACAAGGGGGAGATTTGGCAAATTCCTTTCTCTGTTCTGTTCAATGTTAAACCAGCTCTATGTATGGGAGTGAGTGAGGAGAACAAACCGCTATTGTTCTCCTGGCTCATTTTCCCATAATAACAGAACCCCCTTAAAAGACAGAACCTAGTGCTATTTAGTGGTGGAGCAGGCAGGGGTGGAGTGCTACAACCACACTCCCTCCCTAACCCACAGTTAACCCACAGTTAACCCACAGAACGACATGTAGCTAGCTGCCTCCAGCCCTGCCAAGCCAACACAGAGCTGTAGAGACATGCTCCTCCCAGCTCTATTTCCATAGCTTTGCATGACATTGTTGCAGAGTACAATATCAAATAGTGGAGGCCAAGGTACTTTGAATGCATACTCTATCAGCTGTTTCCCTTTGTAGCATAAAGTCAAAGTGTACGAACCAACAGTCCCAAACATGGCTAATGTAAATACTCTTCCTGATAGATATACGCTACAGTTGGGCAATAGGGTGTATTACAAGAGTGGATTATCAGGCTACCCCATCAGTCATCCCAAATCCCAATACCAAGACAGTCCCTTATTCTCCTCCTGATTGGGTCCTTCAGCTGCACCAGCTCATATGATTGGTAGAGCAGAAACACCAGCCAAAGTCAGTAAACCTACACTGACTGACCACTGCAGACAGAGACTGTGCCAGTGACTCGGCTCCTCTTTCCAAACAGAATGTCCTTTGTCCTCTCCCAACCGTCTGATGAATCACTTTTAAAGATAACATTTTGAAAATCAATTTGTATGCACTTGCCTTCAGATCCCCTCTCCAGTTCAGTGACTGGCTGAAATGGGATGCCAGGACATTTTCACTGCCTCAGCATAAAACTCAGACAGTACAGCGATGATGGTGACAAATGGAGTGCAATGAATGACATCACAGTTCTGGCGCTAGTGTCTGTCTGAGAGAGGGAGCGTCCTCATATCATATTTATGTTTCTCTCTTTTGGTAAACAGTATGGCAAGAATATGTCCTTAGACAGGATACAGATAACTGGCTTTATCTGGGCTAGCCCTGTCTGGTCGTCTCTGCTGTGTTTTCGAACTGTCTCCATGCTTAATATGTCCCTTCTCTCTCTCTCTCTCTGTAGTGCCAGCAGCTTTGACCTTAGACCCCATCACAGCCCACCATAGACTCATCCTATCAGATGACTGCACCATTGTAGCCTATGGTAACCTGCACCCCCAGCCCCTGCAGGACTCCCCGCGGCGCTTCGACGTCGAGGTGTCTGTGCTGGGGGCCGAGGGCTTTGGCTCGGGGGTGCATTACTGGGAGGTGATGGTGTCGGAGAAGACCCAGTGGATGATCGGCGTGGCCAACGAGACGGTCAGCCGCAAGGGCAGCATCCAGATCCAACCCAGCCGCGGCTTCTACTGCATCGTCATGCACGACGGCAACCAGTACAGCGCCTGCACCGAGCCCTGGACCCGCCTCAACGTCAAGAGCAAGCTGGAGAAGGTGGGCGTGTACCTGGACTACCCCAAGGGCCTGCTGGTGTTCTACAATGCTGACGACATGTCCTGGCTGTACACCTACCGGGAGAAGACGTTCCCGGCCAAGCTCTGCCCCTACTTCAGCCCCGGGCAGAGCCACGCCAACGGCAAGAACGTCCAGCCGCTAAGAATCAACACTGTGCGTCTATAAGAACCACACACAGGGTCACTCTACAGATCAGATCACACACCTCAACCCTCCCTGAGGATAGGGTACCAACGATGATATAACTAAGATCCTAAAGACAGCTTGTTTTTAAAAATTTGAGAAAAAAAACAGGGGTATGACTATGAAATGTGGATTTCTTCCGGGCTGGTGTTCTGTCCGGGTCGCTGTTTTTCCTTGCCTGTCGGTGTGGCTCCTCATTGATCTCACCAGGGAGGGACTATGTGGACATTGCTGCGGCATCATGGTTTCAACTGGAGCCCTGGTCAGCTTCTACAGTGGTGTAAGGAGAGAGAGACCCCCAAGCCCCTCTGGGCTTTACTCTGTCTGCATAGATGTCATCCCACCGTGGTTTAGTAGTGGTATCTCTGTACTGTGACTGTCTGAGGCCCACCTTGCACAGGCCCAAGGGCTCTGCTCTCCTTACAAGGCTCCAGACGGCTGCTCCGTCTGTCTCTCTCAGCAGCCAGACATTTGACACTGGTGGTCACCTTTCTTTCTTTTGGCTTGTTTGTGGAATGTGTCTGACAACACTCTGCTCCTTTTCCTTTGGCACAGTTAGCAGTTGTGAGCTTGTGAGTGAAAGCCTGTCGTCGTGGCAGTGAGTGCTGTTCCATGTCCTTCTGTGTACCTGTACCCTTTACTGATGGAAATGATGTTGCAGCTCTTGATTCCTGTCCCTCAGGTCACACGTCCAGTTTTCCATCGTCGACAGTGTCAGTCAGTCCAAGTGCTGGACATGGCTGATACTCATGATTTGTAATGGCAGCCTCATGGTCCGTGTGCTCTAGTGATGGTCACTCTGTGCATGGTCACTAGTGGTGTTTGCCGTCCTCACCCTTCCCTCGTTTCCCTACACCTCTCCCTCTCTGTTCCCTCTCTCAGCACACCTACCTCCTGTGAGCGATGTTGGGGTGCTTGGAGAGGTGGGCCTGAGAATGTGCTGCTATGGGAGTGAGGACATGTTGCGTGTTTCACGCCTGGCCTCTCTCCTCTCCCCACCGGGTGGTTTCTGTTGGGTTCTTCCACTCCAGCATGAGAGCTCTACTCTACCTGTCATGTACCTATGTTTTCACATATTTTGTTACCTTTATTTTAGCAGGTTAGTCTCATTGAGATTAACAATCTCTTTTACAAGAGAGACCTGGCCAAAATAGCAGCACACAAAGTTGCAGACACATTTACAACATAAAACAAAAAGCACTACAGTTTAAACAACATCAATTTACACATTGAACAACAAGATGGTTTGGGAAAGTGTGGTGCAACTAGGGGTCAAAACATTGGTCAAAACAAAATGGTAGCTGTCTCAATATGGTCTTTTAAATAAAAATGTACCAATGATTTAACCCTTGGTAAAATAAGGGTTAAATACAAAATCAAAATAAAAGAAGAGCTAAGGAAGGCCAGCCCACTCTCATATAGAGGTTACAGTGATGAGTGAGGGCTTTGGAGTTGGTAACAACACTCAGCACCCCATGGTACACAGGGTCCCGCATACGTAATGACGCCACAGGGGCATACATGTACAAAATATCACCATCATTAATTACAGGCACGAAAGTAGCGGAAAATAGCCTCTTTCTCGTGTCAAAAGAAAAACATGACTTATTACAAGCCTAAGCTTTTTCACAAGACCTTCGATGTGGGGTTTAAAGGTGTCACTCATCTATCAAGAAACCCAAGTACTTGTACGTTTATACTCTTTCTATTTGCTTGTCCTGTGTAGTGACTATACGTGGACGAGTCTGAGGTTTCAACTTAGATTTTGTCTTTTCAGCATTTAAAAGCAACTTCAGCTGACAGAGCTGAGTCTGGACAATAGTAAAGGCAGACTGCAGCTCTTCAAAGGCCTTATTCAGTGTTACTGCACAAAAATAAACAACTGTCGTCAGCATAAAAATGAAAACTAGCATTTGACAAATTTCTACCAACATTATTAATATAGATAGTAAACAACAGTGGTCCAAGAACAGCTCCATGTGGCGCCACCTTCTGGACGGTTAACATATCAGATGACTTGCCATCAAACTGGACTCACTGAGTTCTATCTGACAGTTACCTTTTGAACCATGAGACTGCCTGATCAGATAATCCTATCTCCTATCCAAGTCTTTGCAACATGTCATGATCAATGGTGTCGAATGCCTTCGACAGCTCGATGAAAAGGGAGACAGTGCTGTTTCTTGTCCATGGCATCAATAATATCATTAACAACTTTTGTTGCTGCAGTAGAAGTGCCATGCTGTTTTCTGAAACCTCATTAAAACTTTGACACAGAAACCTCTGGTTAGCACGCGTACATTCCTGATTCCATCTCCCTGCCTCCTCCCTCCCATGATGTCTCATCATCGCAACGTAGGTGTCAGAGGTTAATCCGAATAAATGAATCTTGACATCTGCTAAATTACAGTTGGCCTATGGGGCAGAGACCACTTACGACTCGAGCAGCATGATGCTGCAATTAATGAGCTCTGGAAGGTTTTTAAGCATTCTGTCTTTTTTTTTTCTTCAAATATTTTGAAGATAGTAAATGCTATGGACACCAAATGTTTTCTTTGTTTTAAAGAAAATAATATGGTCAGTCTAAATATACTGAACAAAAATATAAACGCAACATGCAACTATTTCATTGATTTTACTGAGTTACAGTTCATATGAGGAAATCAGTCAAATTCATTAGGCCCTAATCTATGGATTTCACATGACTGGGAATACAAATATGCATCGGTTGGTCACAGATACCTTAACAGAAATGGGCCTCATTATGGACCTCAGGATCTCGTCATGGTATTTTTGTGCATTCAAATTGCCATCGATAAAATGCAATTGTGTTCGTCGTCCGTAGCTTATGCCTGCCCATACCATAACCCCACCGCCATCATGTTCACAACGTTGATATCAGCAAACCGCTCGCCCACACAACGCCATACACGTGGTGTACGGTTGTGAGGCCGGTTGGAAGTACTGCCAAATTCTCTAAAACGGCTTATGGTAGAGAAAGGAAAACTCAATTCTCTGGCAACAGCTCCTGCAGTCAGCATGCCAATTGCACGCTCCCTCAAAACTTGAGACATCTGTGGCATTATGTTGTGTGACAAAACTGCACATTTTAGAGTGGCCTTTTATTGTCCCCAGCACAAGGTGTAATGATCATGCTGTTTAACAATCTTCTTAATATGCCACACCTGTCAGGTGGATGGATTATCTTGGCAAAGGAGAAATGCTCACTAACAGGGATGTAAACAAATTTGTGCACAAAATTTGAGATAAATAAGCTTTTTGTGCATATAGAACATTTCTGGGATATTTTATTTATATGAAACATGGGACCAACACTTTACATGTTGCATTTATATTTTTGTTCAGTGTAGTTTAATAACAACATTAAGGATATGAAAATGGCCAAGGAAAGTGATATTACAGTACATTATTATACTGCACTGGCCTGGACTGTTGACATCTTGTTGGCAATGTTACATTTAGTTCCATAAGACCATTGTAAACATAATACACCAATATATATTCTCTGAGGCCCAGTTATGTGTTGGCTCAGCTGCTTCATATGTCCCAAGAGCTCTTGTGATCCCCTGGTTGAAGACAAGTCCTTCAGATTCTGTAACAAGAAGCTCTTGTCCCTTAGCAAAGTCCAGCATGAAGAGAGTCTAGAGCCAGGGACTGTCTGTATGTTAGTGTGTGCGCATGTTGGTGGGATATGTACAGTGCCTTCAGAAAGTATTCCTACCAATTGACTTATTCCACATTTTGTTGTGTTACACAGCCTGAATTTAAAAAATGGATGATTTTTTTTTATCTCACCCATACACACACAATACTCCACAATGACAAAGTGAAATCATGTTTTTAGAATTGTTTTGCAAATGTAATGAAAATGAAATACCGAAATATCTCATTTACATAAGTATTCACACTCAACTTTGTAGGAGCACCTTTGGATGTGATTACAGCTGTGAGTCTTGTTAGGTAAGTCTCTAAGAGCTTTCCACACCTGGATTGTGCAAAAATTTTTCCATTATTCTTTTCAAAAGTCTTCAAGCTCTGTCAAATTGGTTGTTGATCGTTGCTAGACAACCATTTTAGGTCTTGCCATAGATTTTCAAGTAGATTTAAGTCAAAACTGTAACTCGGCACTCAGGAACATTCACTGTCTTCTTGGTAAGCAACTCCAGTGTAGATTTGGCCTTGTGTTTTAGGTTATTGCCCTGCTGCAGGGTGAATTAATCTCCCAGTGTCTGGTGGAAAGCATATTGAGCCAGGTTTTCCTCAAGGATTTTGCCTGTACTTCGCAACATTCCGTTTCTTTTTATTCCTGAAAAACTCCTCAGTCCTTAACGATTACAAGCATACCCATAACATGATGCAGCCACCACTATGCTTAAAAATATGGAGAGTGGTACTCAGTAATGTGTTGTATTGTATTTTCCCCAAACATAACACTTTGTATTCATTGCAAAAAGTTAATTGCTTTGCCACATACTTTAGTGCCTTGTGCAAACAGGATGCATCTTTTGGAATATTTTTTATTCTGTACAGACTTCCCTCTTTTCACTCTGTCAATTAGGTTAGTATTGTGGAGTAATTGTTGTTGATCCATCCTCAGTTTTCTCCTATCACAGCCATTCAACTCTGTAACTGTTTTAAAGTCACCATTGGCCTCATGGTGAAATCCCTGAGCAGTTTCCTTCCTCTCCGGCAACTGAGTTAGGAAGGACGCCTGTATCTTTGTAGTGACTGGGTGTATTGATACACCATCCAAAGAGTCATTAATAACTTCCCCATGCTCAAAGGGATATTAAATGACTGCTTTTTCTTTTTTTTACCCATCTATCAATAGGTGCACTTCTTTGCGAGGCATTGGAAACCTCCCTGGTCTTTGTGGTTGAAACTGTGTTTGAAATTTACTGCTCAATTGAGGGACCTTACACATATTTGTATGTGTGGGGTACAGAGATGGGGTAGTTATTTAAAAAGTTGTGTTTAACACTGCACACAGAGTGAGTCCATTTAACTTATGTGACAAATTTCTACTCCTGAACTTTACGCTTGCCATAACAAAGCGGTTGAATACTTATTGACTCAAGACATTTCAGCTTTTCATTTGTAATTAATTTGGAGAAATGTCTAAAAACAATTTCACTTCCATATTATTGGTTATTGTGTGACCAAAAAATCTCAATTTAATACATTTTAAATTCAGGCTGTAACATTTGGAAAAAGTCGAGGGGTGTGAGTACTTTCTGAAGGCGCTGTATGTTCTGGCCTCTTGTCTGTGAGGTGAAGTGATAAAAGATCCCCCTATATCCCTGCCTGTCCCTGGTCTTGCATCCTTGTGTTTGTATGCGTCTTGTCTGTGTTGTCTACTTTAAAGAACTGGGGCAGTGCCCTGCTTTGTTGGATGCGTTGTTGGTGTGTTCTGATGAGTATGTGCAGGATGATGCAGATCCCTGTGGGGTCTATTAAAAGCAAGACTGCTGTCCGGTGATATGGATACGAAGCAGAATATTATTATTATTGTTGGGTGGTGGTGGGTAACTGGTGGTGGTGGTGGTGATGATGATCATAATGGTGATGGTGATTATAATACCACTTTTAATGATGATTATAATTATGATTGTGTCTGGATGTCGGTGGCTGTGCACCCATCATTGTGCGAATACACACTGGTGTGCTTGTTGCTAGAGGATCATGAGATATGTTTTAATATACAATTAAAGACTGGTAAAACCAACATGCCTGTTTGATTTTCTTTTAGAAACACTGATAAACATACTAGTACATTAACATGTCGTTCTAATGCATTTGTTGGGGCTCAGAGTCCTTCGACAATATGCATGTGAAATGCTTGCGCAGACAATGTTTTCACAGAACTCATTACTAGAGAGCAGCTAGAATATATCAGAATGTACAGTATGAGAGATTGCCTGTGGAAGCTAATGCTTGCTGGCGTACATTCTGTGTCAAGGTGCATATTTCAGCTGAGATGTGCCAAATCCCTGCGTTGTGAAAGCCTCCCTGGCAAGCCAGAGACTATGTAGTCCCTTTGTTCCTCCCCTTTTCATGCTGAGGCATTTTTCAACTAGATGAATAAAAAGCTGAGAGTAACCTTGTGATGGATCACACTGTCTGAACACAAGACAACCTCACTGCAGGGGAGGGCCTTACTGTGCTGTATGCAGGGCTGATCCCTCACTCAATGGCTCTCTGTCTGCTGTTTATGAGAATGCCTGGCGATTGGAGAATGCCTTCTAAAAAAGGGCCAGCCCACTCATTTATTTTTAATGAAACCATTGTATAAAGTGAACGTCTGAAGCAAGAAGCAGCGGTTAGCCGGCTATTTGATATCGGTGCCGTTGTTGGAGGAAAGGTTATGCTTGTAGCGTGACATTACCTCATGCGCCATTATATGTGCTAATTGAGGGCCGATTGATTCCAGTTGCATCATTATTACAGAGGAGCTGTGGACCTGGCAACAGAGCAGAGCAACCGAGAGCCTTTGTTAATGTCAGTCAGTTAGACCCCAGGACAAGATCTCACTACTTCTCCTCTACAGTATAGTTTTCTCCTCTCACTCTCCTATATTGGAGCAGACCATCTAACTTCACCTCAGGAGAAGTTGTCCATTAAAATGGAAGGGATATTTTGCCTCACCATTTCATACAGGTAAATGTGGCACAGGTATGGGTGTAGTGTGAGCTGTTGGCTTCACTGTCCTCTAAGAACAGTGAGCTGATGGTAAGTAGGGCTGTTCTCTCACAGGTACCATAACTAGTGACTCTGAATGAGCTGGAGAGAGCGTCTTCACTCTATCAAATCAAATGATGCCATAGACACGATGAGTAGACCACATACAGTGTGTGTTTGTGGCTAGAGTTTAGATCAGGAAGTAAATGAATACAGAGTAAACAAAGTGACCTTGAGAAAGATGACGAATGGAACTCTTGTCACAATGATAATATTTTGTTGAGTGTTATCTGCATGCACTCATGGTTTGAACAAAGGAACAGTCTGAACATAATCTGATTTTTGTAAATGTAGCCTCTGCAGGGCATATTCAAGTCCTTTGTACAAACAATTTAGCCCCGTTTTCAGCAGCAAAATGCTCTAATTCTTCAATATTTAAGGGGTGCCCTCCACAAACTGCTGTTTTCAGATCTCGCCATAGGTTTTGGATTTGATTCAGGTCTGGTATTTTCGTAGGCCACTCCAGAACAGTCCAGCATCTCTTCTTAACCCTTCCTGGGTGCTTTTTGATGTGTGTTTGAGGCCGTTGTCCTGCTGAAAGACCCACAATCTTCAATGGAGGCCCAGTTTTTGGACACTTGGTTGAACAAAACACCTGATAATCTGCTGATTTCATGATGCCTTGTGTAGTTCAAGGCCCCTAGTACCAGAGGCGGCAAAGCGACCCCACAGCATTATCAAATCTGCCCCATCTTTGATTGTAGGGAGGGTGTTCTTTTCATTGAATGCTTAAAGGTGTTTTGGAGTGCAATGCTCAAATCAGTGTCCAGAAACGGTCTCTCTGTTGAAGGTAGTGGGTCTTCCAGTAAGACAACAAAAAAAACATGGTTCAAGAAGAAACACTGGACTGTTCTGGAGTGGCCAGTGATGAGTCCAGATCTGAATCACATCCAAAACCTATGGCGAGACAGCAGAATTAGAGCAGTTTGCTGCTGAAGAGTGGGCCAAATTGCCAGTAGAAAGGTGCAGCAAGTTCATTGATAGTGTTAGGTTCTAAGTTCTGGTACAAAATCCAGGACACCAAAGGAAGCTCAGACTACATTTATTACACCCAAACTGGATGCTACAGCTGCAAAGCACAACATACAATTGTTACGAACCCTGTGGCTTTAAACGTCTAGGGTGGATGGACAAGAGACCCGTAACATAATTCATGCAAATTAGAATCGTGACATGGAACAGTGAGAACAAAAACGACACGACAACCATAAACTACCGTCAAACATAAAAGGTTTATTTTTGAACACACGGTAAAGGTTTGGGGAAAAAGGGCTGAGCAGGACCCAAGAAATGAAACAATAGTGTAAAACACCCCTAAACTGATCTTGCCTGCCTCAAGAACCGCTAAGCTACTGCTAATCATACAAAAATTACAGTGGGTGGTCCGCTCAGGTCTAACTAGTGTTTTTAGACTTTTCTTCCTACGGGTAATATACGCCCAAGGGCAACTTGCTTAAACTCCCCTTTTCCCAGAAACAAAGTTACCAAACAGAGTTACCAGCAAATGAGTGAGTACACAAAACACCACAGTATCCATACTCACATACGGAAAATAGTCTAACAAAGTTACCAAACAGAGTAACCAGCAAATGAGTGAGTACACAGGACACCACAGTATCCATACTCACATACAGAAAAAGTCTCTCACAAAGTTACCAAACAGAGTAACCAGCAAATGAGTGAGTACACAAAACACCACAGTATCCATACTCACATACGGAAATAGTCTCTCTCTACAAACACAACTGACTGGCTTTAAAACAATGGGATGTGTGATTGAAAAACCAGAAACAGATGGTGCAATGCAGAGGAATGTCCACTGATTGGTCCACCTCAGCAATCAGCAGACACCCCAACGACCACCAATCAGGAACATACAGGACACCTGTGATTAGGGCAGAAGGAGAGGAAAAACACAAAAAGACACAGGATACCTGTATCCGTAACAACAATTCTCACACGCATATATTTATACCTTCCGATTAGGCGGAGTCACTTCCTTGTACTGTATTTCTAGGATAAACAATCAGTCTCTGTTACTGGGCAAGAACTGAGTCTGTTCTTCCTATTGGAGTTATCGTGGCCCAGCATGAGTCCAGAATCTTAATGGGTAGGGATGTGAGATAAAACTACAGTTGGAGTATTGTTGGGATGGGCCCCTCTAGCCCCACCTCCCAGAGGTTTCTTCGTTCTTCAACTGTTGTGCTCACCTCGATGTTGAACTCTTTGTCTCTCCCTGCCCTAGTTCCACAGAAACTAGCCTGACCTTACCAGGAACTGAGACTCGACTGTGGCTCTACCTACTTCCTTAGAAATATTAATATACAGCAATAATGTATATGGACATAGAGAGACTTTCTGTACTTCCCCTTGCCGCTGCAATAACACTCTCCAGCTCCAACATCCTAACCAATAACAAGGTATTACTACTAATAAGCAGATTATGCAATTATTAACAGGCTCATTATACAACTAAAACAGCTCAAGTCAAATCATGTCCAACAATGGCTACAAGAAGCATTTGTAGAAGTTGTTTTGGCCATAGACTGTGCAACCAAGTACTAGCTCTGGGGTGGCAATAATTCTGTCCATGCCATTTCTCTTTAATTTATCAATAAAAATTGTAAACTTAAGTTCTGCAATGTTAAAAATCAAATAACAGGGTGTGGAGACCTTTAAAAAAAAAAACGTGTTTACATTTATTTTAGAAGAAATAGGGAATTATTTAAGAAAGGTGCAAGGGTGCCAATAGAATTGGCCGCAACTATACCTATAATAATGACATTTATGTATTTTTTATATATATATATTTTTGTGCTCTTTTCTACATTGTAGAATAATAGTGAAGACATCAAAACTATGAAATAACACATATGGAATCATGTAGTAACCAAAAAAGTGTTAAACAAATCAAACTATATTTATATATTCAAGATTCTTCAAAGTAGCCACCCTTTGCCTTGATCACAGCTTTGCACACTCTTGGCATTCTCTCAACCAGCTTCATGAGGTAGTCACCTGGAATGCATTTCAAATAACAGGTGTGTCTTGTTACAAGTTAATTTGTGGAATGTATTTCCTTCTTAATGTGTTTGAGCCAATCAGTTGTGTTGTGACAAGGTAGGGGTGATATACAGAAGATGTTTGGTAAAAGACCAAGTCCATATTATGGCAAGAACAGCTCAAATAAGCAAAGAGAAATGACAGTCCATCATTACTTTAAGACATGAAGGTCAGTCAATACGGAACATTTCAATAACTTTTAAAGTTTCTTCAAGTGCAGTCGCAAAAACCATCAAGCGCTATGATGAAACTGGCTCTCATGAGGACCGCCACAGGAAAGGAAGACCCAGAGTTACCTCTGCTGCAGAGGATAAGTTCATTAGCGTTACCAGCCTCAGAAATTGCAGCCCAAATAAATGCTTCACAGAGGTCAAGTAACAGACACATCTCAACATTAACTGTTCAGAGGAGACTGCGTGAATCAGGCCTTCATGGTCGAATTGCTGCAAAGAAACCACTACTAAAGGACACCAATTAGAAGAAGAGACTTGCTTGGGCCAAGAAACACGAGCAATGGACATTAGACCGGTGGAAATCTGATGAGTCCAAATTTGAGATTATTGGTTCCAACCGACGTTTCTTTGTGAGACGCAGAGTAGGTGAACGGATGATCTCCGCATGTGTGGTTCTCACCGTGAAGCATGGAGGAGGAGGTGTTATGGTGTGGGGGTGCTTTGCTGTTGACACTGTCTGTGATTTATTTAGAATTCAAGGCACACTTAACCAGCATGGCTATCACAGCATTCTGCAGCGATAAGCCATCCCATCTGGTTTGCGCTTAAATGGGACTATCATTTGTTTTTCAACAGGACAATGACCCAACACACCTCCAGGCTGTGTAAGGGCTATTTGACCAAGAAGGAGAGTGATGGAGTGCTGCATCAGATGACCTGGCCTCCACAATCACCCGACCTCAACACAATTGAGATGGTTTGGGATGAGTTGGACCGCAGAGTGAAGGAAAAGCAGCCAACAAGTGCTCAGCATATGTGGGAACTCCTTCAAGACTGTTGGAAAAGCATTCCAGGTGAAGCTGGTTGAGAGAATGCCAAGAGTGTGCAAAGCTGTCATCAAGACAAAGTGTGGCTACTTTGAAGAATCTAAAATCTAAAATATATTTTGATTTGTTTAACACTTTTTGGTTAATACATGATTCCATATGTGTTATTTCATAGCTTTGATGTCTTCACTATTATTCTACAATGTAGAAAATAGTACAAAGAAAGAAAAACCCTTGAATGAGTAGGCGTATCCAAACTTTTGACTTTTACTGTATATTTCAATACCAATCTACATCCAGTGTCAGAGAGTTTAGAGAGTGAGCTCAGCCTCATTTTGTTCTGGGCTCCTGGCTGAATCATTATTCTGCGGTGTATCTGTCTGTACAGGTCTGAATACTTTGGCAGCAGGGAAGATGTAGCTAATTAGGCCTACCTGCTGTTGACTCAGTGTTTGCCCTCTGGCTCTCTCAAGGGGAGCACAACCTAAACGTTACTCCTTTGTTCAAAGAAATCCCCTCCAGCTCTTGTTTTAATGTACTGTATAGAATACACATTCTAGCCTGGGAGCTTCGGAGGTCTCTACGTTGTGAGCTGCCTGGGGTTGTTGCTGGCTGCAGGCTGCCCTCTGGTGTTGGCCTGGGTAATATCAGTGTCTCCAATTTTCCAATTGGCTCATTCATCCCCCCTCCTCTCCCCTGTAACTATTCCCCAGGTTGTTGCTGTTAATGAGAATGTGTTCTCAGTCAACTTACCTGGTAAAATAAAATAAAAAGGATCCTCTCTGGAGACATTTGAACCTGATGTTAGGAGGTATGTAGCATATGTCTGCGATGTGAGGCAGGGGACGGAACAGGGTTTATATATATAATTTCCCTGGATCCTGTATGTGTCTCAGATGTTATTCAGCTCCCTGCTGTGCCTGTGATCAAGTGGAATCTAATTCCTGGACTGTAAACCCCTGAGTAAAGAGAAAGCTTTGTTGTTCTTTTATACTTAGCTACAGCCCAACGGCAGTAGTGTTGAGAGCCACTTTTTGGTAAGTGTACATTATAATCACTTACCTTTTGCTGTGGTAAGGTGAAGTCAGATAATCCCCAATCAAACTAATCTCAATCACACTCCAGATAACTGAACCCCCATGTACTGTTACTGTATTCCAATACTGTTTTAGCAAACTAATTATTAGGTTGCATGTCTATAGATCTGGCAAGCAAGCCTCAACCTGCCTTTTTCAGCACTCCTCAGCAGCTTCCCAGAGATCACTCGGCACGCATGAATAGACAGTCACAGTCAAAAGGGGAATTGTTTACTTTATATCATTGACAGGTAGACCAGCTGTCTACATGTAATATTCATCTGATCCCACCACCGGACAATACCTAATTAATCCCTCTCAACACAATCCCATTCCCAAACCACACCTTAGTATCTAACACTACCCCATCCAGGTTTATTGTCCAGTACACTGACTTTATGCCGGTGTTACATTGACTGGGAGAGCCGTCTGTTGTCTGTGGCTTCTTTGGGTACAAACAATAAGATCTTCAAACTCCACTCCAGCATTGTCTCTATGTGCCTGATCAGTAGGATGTTCACACTGAGATTTAGAGGTAACACACAGACGGTGAGCAGACACACAAACCCTGTCATTACGTTTACCCCCAGGCAGGGAAAGCCCCACTGCCCCAGCCCCAGCCCACACTGGCTCTTGTAGGTAGAGTCTGTGTGTTCCTCCACAGTAGTACTGAGAGGCATGTCTCCCAGTCCTTTTGTCTCTTTGTGTTCCTGTAGTCTGTCTACTGACAAACACTCCAGCGATAAGTCGACAGGGTATCCATGGTGAGCCAGTGACAGCTGTATGTTTTCCCCGGAACATGGGCTGTGAAGGGAGCATCTGGACCATGTTGTCTCTGGGTCAACAGACTGTATGGCTGCCACCGCTGACATCACAGGGTTCACAGCCTTACATGGCACAGGGAATGTTTGTACGGGCAGTTGAATGTCAGTGCCATGTTCCTCCTTGTATGTCGTTGCGGGTGTGTGTGGGTCCGTCTCTGTGTGGGCCAGGTGTCGTCTGAGCAGGCCCAAGCCCACCGTCAACACCAGCAGGAGGGCCAAGGTCACGGTCAAGCAGGGCTCACTCAGAGCAGACAGGACGTTGTTGGGGAGGCTGGGAAGGCACAGAGTGAGGGAGCTGGTCCTCTCCATGCAGACCTTCACCCAAAGACTCCAGCTCTGACCCCCACAGATGCCACAGAGAACCCACACCAGCAGACAGCAGAGGAAGTATATGATGTGGGACAGACACTTTTCCTGGTCCTCTCTCCCTCCTCTCTGGGTGTCTGTGTCCCTGCTCTGCCCATTCTCTACCTCCACTGTCACACTGTTGTGAGGTGCAGGAGCTTTAGAGCCCAGAGTTTTACTCTGTTCGTCTGCGTCTCCATCCACTGCTCTACCTCCATCACCATGGACCTGGAGCCACTGCAACTTCATGGCAGTCTCCACAGCAACAAGAGGAGTGGTCATCAGCAGCACCGCCCAGTAGGTGTGGCTGAGGAAGAGCAGGAAGCGCAGGGCGATGACATCAGTGGATATGGAAAACTGAGGTAGCCAGGGGTCTGCAAACCAGAGGACAACCAGGATAGCTGGGGGACAACAAAGACCAATCAATCAAATAGAGAAATGTGGATGATGGGACTAACAGCATGAGGATTGGGTCACTGAAGTAGGCCATAGGAGTGTAAATAACTCCTATTTAAATGTAAGATCACTAAAGTTCATATTCAGTGATTAACACAATGTTTAGCACATTAATATATTTTCCCTTTCTGTAATACACATGATTTCCAGTGTTTATGACACTGAAGGTGTGGGTTGATCGTCACTTGACGTGATACTGAATCTTATGGATTATTCTCATATCTGTTGATAGTGGTTGAGGCCAGACTGGATGTACAAGGACTGAGGACACACTGATTATTCACTGTTGTATTGTATTGATGACATCCTGTGAACACTGACAAAGTCACTGCCTTTTGTTTTTACATCCTACGAAGGGCCTGTCTCCAGGGGCATTTTCTCTTCTTCTGTGTTGGGTTTACAGGGTGCTTCTGTGCCCTGTTGGAACTTGTAATGAACCAGATTGGGGTCGTTCCACGAATAGAGTACATTTTGGGTAGTGTTCATTTCACCTAATTGTAACATTCTGTCATAACGAGCACATGTTCAATTTCATTAAAAAAACATGTTTTCCCATCTCAAATAGTTAAATTTAAAAAAAGGACTATAGTAAGTGCCAATAAAGTGCATTAAAGTAACAGGGTTGACCGAAAATGGATTAAGGTTTTCATCTTAAATCAGCCATAAATCCCCTTGTGACAGGGGGATTAGAAGCTTGTTGTGTGCAACAGGGAGGGTAATTGAATGCAAACTTCACAAAAAATGTGAAACATTTCTAGCCTGTCTATGTATGGGTAACAGTGCTGATGTCTTATGCTCGACCCGCTCAGTTTTCCACCACGAAACACCAGAAAAAGGCCAAAAAGAGTAGAACCAGCTCACCGGTTTTTACACTATGATTTGCCTATTACATGTTCAATGTTGCTTTTGAATTTTTCACCATATAGTTTCACCATATTAAAACAAGAATTCAGTTCACGTAACAGTGTTGACCTTAAAATGATGAACAAACACAAATGAATCACTAACCACATGAAATAAATAATAATCTTCAGAAATTACTTTGTCAAAGCAAGAACATGACTAGGGCATTACAATGATTGTGAAAACTTGGAGAAATAGTAGGCTTAAGTGGGTTAAAATCTTCCTAGAAGTCTGAGAAACATGACGAGGGACATTTCAAAATGCAGATTTTTGGCGCTTTAGCAAATCTTTATTCATATAAAGAATTTGATTTATTGTATACCAGGCTTTTAAAATTCAAAAGGTGCAGAAAATGTACTCTATTCATGGACTTTAGCAACGACTGCTCTCCTTTCTGTTTTCCTTTAAAGTCTTATTACAAGGAAAAACAGGTAGTTCTAGCTCTGATGTACACAGCAGAAATAGGGTTAGAGATGGACACTTACTTGTGACTACGAGGTCTGTGAAGAGCAGCAGGCAGTTGCAGCAGAAGCTGACCGCACTGAGAGAAGCAGTGACCATGGGCAGGAAGAGAAGACTGCAGGCCAGTTTACACACACACACCACAGCCGCTCCCTCCAACACACCATCCATGGCTAAAACAAAAACAACACAGACAGAGGACTATATTACAAACCATTATTGGATTATGACTGGATTATTACTCTGGCTCTTCCCGTTGGAGCATACACTGATCACCACCCAAGTATTTTCACTAAATAGGACCTGGGTGTTGACTCTCTAGGATGCCTTTCAAAACAGAGTTTCAAGGGCAACATTCACTGTTTGAGACTGCATACTGTATGTGGTCCTCTGTAGCTCAGCTGGTAGAGCACGGCGCTTGTAACGCCAGGGTAGTGGGTTCGATCCCCGGGACCACCCATACACAAAAATGTATGCACGCATGACTGTAAGTCGCTTTGGATAAAAGCGTCTGCTAAGTGGCATATTATTATTACAAAACATAGCATCTAAACCCAATGTATTAGACCCCTGGAATAACTTAAAGTCCCAATGCAGCCATTTTTATCTCAGTATCATATATTTGATGTGTAACAATTTAGTACCTTACTGTAATAATTTTCCATTAAAATGGTCAAGAATAAACAAAAATAGCTTTTTAGCAAAAAACTATTTCTCAAGCAATAATTTTGCAAGGACTGTCTGGTGGTCTAAGTGGGGAGGGGAAAACTGAAAAAAATAACAAGCTGTTATTGGCAGAGAGGTTTGGAACTGTCTTTGTTATTGGTCTATTAAAACATATACCGCCTGGTGACACCAGGCAAGCCAAAACTCCACCCATGCACAACTTGCTGATTAGAAGGTTCTGTGTAGATTCTATTTTCAACCAGCAACTATCAGGAAATAACACTGATAAAATGTTTTCACACTTTTACAGTGTTAGGGCTCTATTCAATCTGTATCGCTGAAGTGTTACAGATAGCGCTCTAGAAATGTAACGGTAATTTCCTATTGAGCCGACATCTGCAGCGTTTACTGCTGTGAATGCAGTCTCCGCTTTTAATTTCAATCACTCTTTAAAGCTGTATTTCTGCGATACGGATTGAATAGAGCCCTTAGTTTTATCAGCTGTTGTACAATATGATACAAATAACAGGAAAAACAGAATTTTGATTGCAGTGGGCCTTTAAACTAACTCAAGACCCATCATGTGAAATACTGTAGCGAATATATGCAAGCAATACTTTAAAAGATAATATTATGTTGTCATCCAAATGATGTTGATCTGCTGCACCAGATCAATATTTATTTGTGTAAATTAGCATTGAACCATGGCCTTCTCAGCCAACCATTAATGTTTTTGGTCACTGAAACGTCAATAGACAGCAATGAGATCAATGTATGATTTTTTAGGTAGGTTTTTGGCCTTTCAACTTTTGAGATACATAACAAACTTAAAGTATTATCATTTTATTTCGATCATCTGTAGTAAGGGTATGGTTAGGGTACACTATTGTTACCGGGGGTACAAAAATATAAAAATACACTAAATGTACCTTCAGAAGTACACATAATCTCACATGGTACTCTTCGGGAACTTTTAGGGTACATGTGCAGATAATTTTGTATAATGGTACATTTTTGTACCCAATATTCTGAATGTAAAGGTACAATCATCACACCACGCCCATCATTATCATATTTCCCAGCATGCTCTATTGCAGGTAGAAATGTTTGCATGCACATTGATTGATTGATCTTATGCTACACAAAGATAAATAACATGCATTTAATGAGATGGTTGTTCCTGTTTAAATGGTTTATATAGTCTAATATATATATATTTTCCCCAACTTGGCAGTCATTGCGGGTGATTAAAAGTAAAACATTTGGGATATCCTAACTCTGGCTGGATTCCAATAGGAATTACATATATATTTGCAAGCCAGCATAATGTGACGATGTGGCCTGCAAACCAGGAGTTTCAGACCACTGTGTTGGGGTTAAACTAGACTGTCAAAGTATGATATACAGTATGTAATGTATTGTCATGAGTTTAATTTCAAAGATAAAATATTCACTTAGGAACTCACTTGATGAAGGCTACAGGACTGAAAGCAATTGAATGCAACAACCATGTCTCTGTCACTAGCAAACTAAGTCATGGGTGGTACTATTAATTATAAAATGAACATGAAATGCAACCTGGGATATATGCAAATAAGGTTTTACACCCTACAGTGTTAAAACAACACACCAAAACCCTTTTAGAGGAACATTTTTGCAACTTAAAATGAGCTTTGTCACTGTGGTGGTAACCTAAAAAGGCACATTTGTACCTTTTCCAAAGGTACGCTTTGTACCTGTACCATCTTGTCGCTAAGGTACACTACTGGCTCTTTTAAAGTACGAACTGCAAGGGTACAACTATATACCTACAACTAAAGGTACAAAAGGATGTACCTTATGGCAGTGGTTCTCAAACCTCTCCTCGGGGACCCACAGATGCTTCACAATTTTGTTGTAGCCCCATTGTTCCCCTCTAATCAGGGACTGATTTAGACCTGGGACACCAGGTGGGTGCAATGAATTATCATGTAGAACAGAAAACCAGCAGGCTGCAGACCTCGTAGGGTAAGAGTTGAATACCCCTGCACTACAGTGACAAGCGTTTGTAGCCCTTTAAGAACAAATCTAAACCTTTATTTCTGAGGGTGTAGTTTCACTATCTTTTACTTAGCATGTGCACAAAAACTAAACTCATCCACTATGTAAATGCAGGGGCGTCAATTAGGTATGGCAGAGTATGGCAGTCACCATCAGGGGCGGTGTGTTCAATAGGGCGATATGGGCGACGCACTGCCAAACGGGAAAAGGAAGGGATTTTTTTTCTAATCAATTATATCACGGCAACAGTAGTTATCAGTGTTGTAATCTAGACGTCTGATCTGCCACAGTGCCACTAAATGTCCAATCAGGCTAAAGTCGTGCTTCAAATGCCCCCCCCCCCCCTTTTGGGGCGATTTCAGTCAGGTTGAAAATCGCCCAGAAGTCTGTCATAGACTCCCATGTAAAATCTATTTTTTTCAAATATCAGAGCTTTCAATACAATCTCTATGGGTTTCTGAGGGCTTGCACTTACGCGCTTTCGTCATACGTAACATAACCATGAACGTAACTAAGAAAAGAGCGGGTAGCAGCATCAATCAATTCACTACTACTATCAAAATGGCTAGGCTTCAGTGCAACTCGATTGTGTCTTTGAAAGAAGTTCCTTTTTGTCGGCGAACAAATGAAGATAAATTGGCAACGAAACAATTAGGACCTCCCAGACCAAATTTAATAATTCAACAGGTTTCTACTAAAGGGGGGAAGTCCTACACCCGAGGATTTTCCAAAAATTGGTACGAACGAAAAACCTGGCTAGCAGGCTGCGATGTAGCTAATGCAGTCTTCTGCTACCCCCCTGCTTACTCTTTCACCCTGAAGGCGGCACGGCAGACAGCACCGCTTGGACAGCGACTGGTGTGTAACGGACATGCACCATCTTTCAGGAAAGATTAAGAAACATGAGCTGTCAAAGACCCACATGGATAGCTGTTTGAGATTGTCTGCTTTGGGGAGAGTGAACATTCCCACTCAACTGGATGAGGGATACAGGCTAGCTGTCCGCCGCCACAACGATGAGGTTAGTGTTGATAATCACAAGTTTACTGGAGAACTGAAACTGACAAGGCTGACAAGATAGGACCCTTTTGTCCATTGTTATTGGATAGGAACAGAACTTATAACCAGCTCCTGACCTAAATAGATCTTAGCACAACATTTTACTCAACATATCATATTCCATATTCACTATAACAAATATATTTACTACGACATTAGCAAGAACCGCCACATCCTCAGCCGGCTAATCCAGTGTGTGAAGTTTTGCGGAGTGTTTGAGTTAGCTTTGCGAGGCAAAGATGAAACTGAGGGCTCCACCAACCCTGGTAAGCCAACACTTTTGAGATCAGTCAATAAATGCTTCTGGTATTGACTTATATGCTGCCCCTGTCTTCATGTTGTTGCTGGACATATCTTTTTAAAAATGTGTGTAGGTCACCTAAATCATCAGAAAAATTGCCCCCCCTGAGAATTTTTTCAGGAGCCGCCACTGGTCACCATTCCTTAACTAACTATTTAAAATAGGCTACAGAAATCCTTCCAATCCTGATTAAACAGAACCAAGCCTATGACCTTATGCATTACTGCCCCACAGTGGCAAGAAGTGACATCCCCAAAAACACTAAAACTATATAACACATAAATGGCTCATAGCGTCCCACGCATAGGCTACTTTATGTCTGCAACTCTACATTTTAAACAAATGTATCTAAAAATTAAATAGTTAAAAAAACATATAAAGTGGATCTGAAAACTAACTGAATCTAAACTGAACTTCAAATAAAAATCTTAAAACTAATAGAAATGAAAACTAATATAAAAACACAAAACTATAATAACTTTGCTTCCCACTAAACATACACAGAACATGGGTGCCATGTTCTCAAAATAAGATATTAATGTTCTAGACACGTTTTATGGGAACATAATCCCATTCCTCAGGATGTTGCAAAGAAACTTTCTCCAAAAAAATGTGGCCAAGCACATCAAGACTCTGATTGGTGAACGACAGATCCATTTACTGCTCTTTGTCTGTTTTCAGTCTTTTCAACTGACATATTTGACAAACATATTTACATTGTGCTTGCTCATTTATACAGTAGTTATTATTTACATGTCCCCACCTGGGATTTGAACTCACAACCTCTTGGTGCACAGCATTCTGATCTTGCTACGCCACCATCTCTGTGTCAATGTCACGTTCGTTTACAGACGGGTCAGACCAAGGCGCAGCGTGATATACGTACATGTTTATTTAAATGAATACACAACCAACAAAACGTGAAGTCCAAGGCAGCACAACAAACCTCACACGGAACAAGATCCCACAACCCACTAGTGCCAATAGGCTGCCTAAGTATGGGCCCCAATCAGAGACAACGAGCGACAGCTGCCTCTGATTGGGAACCACACCGGCCAACATAGATCTAGACATACTAGATCTAAACATAGAAAATGCAACATAGAAAA